ATATATATATATATATATATATATATATATATATATATATATATATTGAATACATATACAGAGTCAGTAATTATTGCCATTTGGGATATCTTCAAAACATAAAACAAAATTGACTTTCAGATTTTTTTAAAGTAGAAAATAACTTCGAAGATCTGAAGTCATCTTTATTTTCTACTTTATTTTCTACTTTCAGAGAATATTCCAGTAAATACTGACTCACTTTATATATATTCTTTTAATGTTTAAAATTTAAGAATATTCGTATTTAAAGGCCAAAACATTGAGAAAATCCAGGATTAGGTGTGCGGGGAAATCCGGATACTTCTGTCTTAAAGGTTTGGAAGAACAAGATATGGGATTGAAATGTACTTCGCAGCAATGGACATTTTTTCTCGTTGAATAGCAACGTTTCTCTCCCGCGAGATATGATGTCGCGAGCGAGGAGGCGTTTAGCGGTTCCGTCGATCCGCGACGTGTATTTAGATCGAGGACGCGCGTTTACGAGTCGCGACCGCGACGAAAGCTCGTGCAGCGCATCTGGCAGGTTGCATTACGTATGCAGATCGTCACATCCTCGTCCCGCGCGATCGACTTGAATTACCTAATCGCGCTAAAGCCCGCTGATCGTCACCCACGCGTTTTAATTAAGCCCGATGAAGCTTTCCTTCCAAGTGCGGTAAAACGAGAAACTCGTCGAGCTTCAATTTAATCAATTTCGTTATCTTCGATCGGCCATGGTAATGCAAGAGTGATCTTGTTTGCATGAAATAAGTTCATTTCGAGAAAAGTGAAGATGAACATTTGATATATGACTTCACTATAGATAGCATTGGGATTCTTCACGATCATTCAAAAAGTCAAGCATGAATAATTTCCTTCTCTTCAAGAATATTCGTTGACAAGCTTTATCTTTAAAAAATGAATAAAGACACGTAACTATAGTAAAAAAAATGGCGCAACTAGTGCTAAGATAAAAACTTCTTTAATTAATTTCAGACCCCTATAAAGTTTGAATCTTTTTGTCTTATGTAGATAAAATATGTATGGGCTATTTACTAGCAAAAAAAAGAAATTTAAAAATCATAATTTTGCGGGTTAGGTCATTCTAGTATAACTATGGTCAATTAGTTTCTTCAGTAATTGTTCGATTAGATCGCGAACAATCAACGATTTTCCCTTCAATACTTAAATAATATTTGAACTCTATTTATTTTTAATTTTCTTAAGAGAGAAATTAGCTCTCTCTCTCTTTCTCTCTTTCTCTCTCACACTCATTTATTATTTTTTATTTATCTGCGAATTACGCGAGGTATGAATTTTTCTTTTTAAAAATACTCAAGAATGGGAAAGATACAGGTCGGTTAGAGGCCACTTCCCAAAAAGTCATCCGACTGGCTGATTACGCCATTATAAGCGTCATCACTAAGCCGGTAAAACGAGATGATCCGATCCTAAGATGATGTCACAGCCCGAGATTGTTCCTCCTTCGCGTCCGGTCGAGTCCGTTATAAAACTATTTGTCGCTCGCTCGCTCGCCATTGTCGATCTGCTAAATCGCCTTGCGAAATCGTCCAAGTCAGAGGAGAGGAGCCGGGCTCGTCTCGCCCTACGCATTTATGCGACGTCGCGACGCGACGCCTGTATAAAGTTAGCCCCCCATTTTTCAAATTTAATAATTTTGACAGTTATGCTAATTTGTGCTAGGTTTGTGCTACATTGCGCTCGAATTATAAATTTTTAATACGAAAAATGAACAAGAAAAATGGAAAAAACCGTTTTTTTTGGTAGCCCCCCACTTTTCGATTTTCGAAATTTTTTTATTTTGTTAGGTTGTGCTAAGTTGTGCTAACATTGTGCTAAAGTAGTATCTTCGAAAAATAATCACGAAATAAATAAGACGAAAAAAACGATTTTAAGTAAATAGAATAAAAGTAAGATTTACACTCGTATAAGTCAATCAAACGATATACAATTATATATCTGAGTTGTGCTAGCCTAGCATAAGTCAGCAT